AAAAAAAAAAAAGAAAATTAAGGAGATTTTTATTTTAAAACTTTTATATGGGAGAAAATTAATTTTAAAATTATTTCATCATTGAGAAATTTCTGCAAGAAGTGATTATTTTTCATTTTTTTAGGTAAGATTTATATTAGGGAAGGAAAGATATATTGAAATATTTACAAATTTAAGAATTGGTAATTTTTGGATGGAGAATAAAGACGGAAATCGCATTATACCTAACAGTAGGTAGATCACGAATACTGGACGTAATGTCCTGCGCTTCGGGGCAATATTTCTCAACGAGTTGTAGAATATCCCAAAGCTCCTTCTTGGGTCCAAGGAGACCCTGAAATCGAAGGCAATTAGCGCCAATTTCCCTTTTCAATATAATTCGAAGGTAATGTTTACCTTCTTTGGTCGCAAACCATGCCTAAGCACGTGTTCAAGAACGATGAAGAAATGTTGCAATGGCATATGATCAGAGTCGAGCATTCGACCATACTTCAAAGACGTTTCGATCAGCTCCTTCACGATTAATTTCGAGATATTAACGAGGTTACTCCTCTCGATGATGACTGGATCTCGTGCTGCAAAAACAACAGTGTTCTTGTTCCAATTCGGCAAAGAATATGTATATACGTATATATATAGATATCTTCATTGGTAATATTATATTCATTGGTAATAATCGTTGATTTCATCCGTATTCTCGTCGATGAAAATTTAAATAAAAAAAAAAATAAATAAATAAAATAAATTGTTCTTCTGGAAAGTGCATGAAAATGATGATATGATGATGCGAGTATCGGCGAAGCGCAACGAAAAAATATTATTAATTAAGAAAAAGTTGCGCTAATAAAAAGAAAAAAAAGATTTTCTATTACAGAAATAGTTAGAGATTAGAATTATGGATTTTAGAAATCGCGAAGTGAAAGAGAAGAAAAGAAAAAAGAATAGATAAGATAAGATAATGATCTTACATCGAAGGAAATTGATTCCAGTTTAATAAAATTAAAGAACAAAACTTCTCGAATAAATATCCCATAAATTCTCAATCTCAGAATTTCTTATTGAAGATTATTAAATTGGAAAAAGTAGAACTTGAATGAATAAAGATTTCTATTATCCATAAATATCTGCCATCCATAATGATCTTTTTGCGCGTTTAAAATGTCGAATAATTTAGAAATTATCGAATTTAATCTGAATTAAATTCCACATCTTATTAATTACGAAGAAATAATTGAGCCGGAATAAATTTCCCCCGAAAGAAAAAAACTTGATCTCGTATCGTAAACGAAAACCACAACCACAACCAAAAAAAAGAAAATAGAACAATCAAAGCTTGAAAACTTGAGCTCGTCCATGTCCATGAATTTTTACCGACACAGACTGGTGCAATAATAAACCGTTGTTTCAAAAAAATAAACGGGTCGAGGAAGAAGTGAGATGAAGCGAGTAGTGCAAGAACATCGAGTACAGACACAAGCTGGAAACGTGCTGCAATGGCGGTGGGCTTGACGGCATTATATCGCGAAGCTCTCGCTGTTCGGGAAGCTGTTGCTGGCGATGATGATCATTATGATGATGATGATGATGATTAATACCACTTAGCGCAAGCGGTGGTGAGGGGGATCGTTGAATCGAGTCGTGCAACGAGAACTCGACATCCTGAAGCTCTTTCAGGCACAGCCACTCGCCGTCCACCGATACACGGAAGTTGCACAGGTATATAGTATCCTGGGCGCCAGCCATGTCTTCCTCAAGCATGACACCACCGTGATGCACACCGTGGTCACCCGCTGGTCTGATCTTCAGACCGTTCTGGGATTCTTGCCGCATAGAAGAAATCGTAACAATGGGTCCCTTTAAGCCGCTCCGTACACGGAGTACTTGTGTTTGGGTTAACTGGAACTGGTCTCTTCTCGTTATCGATCGCCCCCAGCGAACGTTTCTTTTTTCTCCTTTTTATATAACTTTCCAAAAAATATTCGATTTCTCTCGGAAAAGAATAATAATATTTTGATTCGAGTTCTGTGATCGGAGTTGTTTGATTACTTTATTTTATTATATCGTCTTTCTTGCCACTACGATGTCCCAATTCGATTATTTCTTGGTAGAGATGTTGGTTTTGGTTGCTCTTGAGAATTTCAATCAGCTGACTCGACGCGTTTTCATTGGTAATTTTGGTTGATATATCGAATAATGATGATTATGTATTTAATTATTGACCACTGTTTTATATTTACACGAATAGCAATTGTTTTTAAGAAATTTTAAGAAGTAATTCGCGATGTTCGTTCGATACGGGTATCGTTAAATTGTTAAGTGTTAAATTCGTGTTATGGAGAAAATGAAATATAGACACTGCGGTAAAAGCGGTGAAAAGAAATCTTTGCTGAAGCGGAAAAAACAATCGCGTTCGCGTTTCGGTTTTAGAGCTACATTGTAGCTGTAACTTCGTGTCAATTGGCTTCTTAAGAGTTTAACGTGGAAGAGACTGATTCACTGCCGAGGAAAATCGCGTATGAAGTGTGTCGATTGCTCGCGAAAATTTTTACGACGAAAATGGTGTGTCGCCGGCGTAAAGTAATATTGATTTTCCCGCCGACTTTACCTCCACCTACGATAATCAATACACATAGTCGAGTAGCTGGCCGGGAGGTGCTGCCATCTATTTTGCTTCGTTTTCTATTATGTCGATAAAACAGTATTTGATAAAAAAAGATATTTATATAACGGAAATTAAATTGAAATTTTGTATCGTACATCTTAATTAAAATATTATTTCATTTTTATTTCACAATATTTTAGTTGTGAAACATTAATCATATTTTCAAAATGAAATTCCATGAATTCATAATTTCATGAAATTTAAATTAAAGAAAATATATAATGATTATTTGAGTTAATTTTATCTTCATGAATGATTTTTGAGATTTTTTTATTATGATATAAATTCGAGATTTAAAATACGTTTGCTCAATGTCAAAGATCATTTAATGCAAATAATAATACAAGATAAATATGTATTATCTGTAAATGTTCTATTGCATTAATGTATTTTGAAAAAAATAAAATCATTTAATCGTTTCTTTACATTATATTCAATACTTTATATCATTATCGTGGTATTAAAAGCATTAAAATTTTATATATATAAATTAAATATTATTTTTAATTTGAATAATCTCTTTCTGAGATTATTTGATTCAAATTTTTAAAATTTAAATATAAATAAATCTTAAATAATCTTAAATAAATCTTAAATAAATTCATATATTATATATTTTCACGAAAACTAGAATTAATGCCTTAAATTCCATAACGAGTTAAAATAACGAATTTATTTTTTTTTCTTTTTTTCTCTAATTAATTTTTAATTAATTTTTTTTTATCATTACCGTCAATTGAAACCATATAACCAATAATTACTGTAATGTTACACAATCATAACAAAAATAAATACAATTTTTCATTTCTTGAGTCATATCTAACACGTGTAACATTACCATTGACGGTCACGTGACATATAGTTAACCCTAGTGAAGTAGGCGTATCTCGATAAAGAAACGAGAATACCGGCGTGTGAGCGCTA